AAGCATGCCAAAACATTTTGTTTAATAGGTTTCAAGGTTTCAATGTATTTTACTTGGTATTTTCAGGAAATTTAAACCATGCTTGTTCCAAGTTTAAAATGTTTTATCTTGTTTTGTTTTCTCCCATACACTTGCAAGGAGTCTTATACTAGCAATTATACTGGTGTATTGTGGGACACAAACTCAAACACTTGGATGGAGTCTCCAGCTTTGCAAGTCCTGATAAACCTGCACTGAGTGCATTGCAAGCTTCCTTCCTTATTGCACTATTCAGTACTTTCCCGCTCAGTTAGCTTTTATCTGCTCAGTATCACATCACTTATTACAGCAGGTTGTTTCATGGTGACAGAAAAGGCTTCCAAAGGCTGCACAACCTGGGATTGTTTGTATTGCATGTGTTCTCATTTAGAGCTAACAGCTGAGGCAGATGGAAACTGGTTACATAAAGGTGGTCTATTTTTCATCACACAAATCGATATATATATATATATATATATACACACACACACACACACACACAGCATACATACATACATATATGTATGTGTATATATACATATATATAGATATATATATATAGATATAGATATACATATGTATGTATGCTGTGTGTTATTTCCTTTTTTATTAGACAGTTAACAACATGTTTATCACGCGTCAACTACAGAGTTAAGAGTTTAGTTCAAATCAAAGACAATCCTTGCAGAACATCCAGTTCACATCCTGCAGTCTCTGAAACCACACTGCAACAACAATAATATTGTTGCAGAAAGTGGTATTACTTTCTGATCAAAACTTTTTATTCCTTAAAAACCGTGAAAAGTCATTTTTCACGTTTTTAACATCAACACGCACATTCAACTACTCCCAATGTCCCCACATCCATAACTACACAGAACATTCCCACAACACATGTTTTTACCTACCTGTTAGTCCTTGGCTGCAAATAGGATCGTTTCTTGTCGCAGTAAGTTCCATATGTGCGCCAGATATGCGCACTTTGCCCTTTTTTAAATCTCGACGTTCTGTTAGTATTTTTTTCTGGCTTCTCGTGTGGAGCTGTAAATTCTGCCATAACCCTCTCCAGCAATACTAGAGAAGATATTTGTGGTTGAAAAGACAGACTATAAAAAAACACGTGCGCATATCCCCGCCCCTGTGGCAGTGACAACCAATGGAAAGCTGCAGCGCCTGTTTAAGGTTTCTAGTCCAAAAAGAGGTTATATCGTTCTTATTTATTTATAGTTTATTTATTAATGTACTTTTTGGCAGACTGGGACACTCAGTGTACATCACTTTTAAAACTTCACGGTGAAACTGGAACCAAGCAACAAACATGCATGACGCTGGTCACAGGAATACAATGTAGGTAAGGTGGTAAGATAAGGTGTTTGTTAATCGGTGTTTAAGTCTAAAGTAAATAAAGTGACTGTGCGAGAACGATATGACTGTATCTCTGACCTGCACAAAAATCTCTAGGACTGCAGGAATATTGAGTGGGTGAACACAAGGGGGAGGTAAAGAGCTACAAAGGTAATTACATACACAGGACTCAAAGTAGTTTTTATGACTGGTACTATTTTTATCATGCAATTAGAAATAAAACCCATTTTAAAATGACCAAAGAGAAGATTTTTCCAGTTTATTTCACTTACACTTTCATTTTACATGGCAGAAACAAACATGAATTTCTGAATGCTGTATTATATGATTTTACATTGGCTATAAACATATTTACAAAAGCTCACCTTATCACATAATCTTTATGGGAACAGTGAAAGTTGCATTTTAATTTCATTTTGATTTCTTTTGTCATTTCATCTACAAAAATGTTTGCAGGATCAGCTCCTCATTGATGTTAAGATTCACCTGAGCAATGTGTCTGTTTCTCTTCCCTATTGGTATAAGTGTGGTGCCATCTGCAGGACGTCCCCTCCTGTTGTATTCCTCTGCACTGAGGAAAGGCACCGGCACCCATGTGGTCACATGAAAAAGACTGAAGTCCACCTTGTAGTGTTTCTTGCCCATTTTCAGCACGTCCTGGAAACGCTGGCCCCAGCGGATGTCTGCTGATGTGTAGGAAGCACGTGTTTGGTGGAGTATTCCTGTGGAGTCCCCTGTGTAGGTGAAAGAAACTACCAGCTCAAAGCGATTGTCCCGCAGGTTATCAGGACCCATGTTGTACAGGGGACTGCCAGGCTCTAGCTTGTGAATAATAGTGGTAGGTGTGGCGAGGACAATCTCCCGTTCCTCTATATCTAAGTCCTGGTAAGTGATTACAAGTGACCCCACTGGCTGTTTTACATAGCGGATTAACTGGACCCTGACGACCCCCTCCAGGATGTGATTACCTCTGAAGTCCCCGAGGCGCCATGACAGACACAGAACCCTGTCTCGTAAGTTGACCACCGCGCATCTGCTGAAACCCACCGTCTGGGCTCTCTTACGAGCAGATGCCATCTTAGCTACAACAACGCCAATGACAACTGTGTCAAGAAGACAGCTAAACACAGTTTGAATCGTCACCACAATGATAGCTACAATAGAGTTTTCGGTTACATGCCTGTAGCCGTAACCAATAGTCGCCCCGGTCTCCATTGAGAACAAAAATGCCCCAGTGAAGTCGCGCACATTTGAAACACAGAGATCGTCATCTGCATTATCACTGTCTCCATTTACATGGGCAATTAACCAATAACACAGACCAAAAAGAAGCCAAGACACAATATTATTAAGGGAGAAAATAAGGAACATCATTCTCCAGCGGATCTCTACAAGACTGGTGAAGATGTCGATCCAATATGTGGTCCAGTCTCCAGGGGCCTGTTGAAACATCACAGGGAATTTGCCATCTTTTTGCATGTAGCGGAGACTCTTTTCCTTCTTTGCATTTTGCCTGCCCAGCGTGTGGACTGTGGTGCAGCAGGTATCAATGACCTGCTCACTTCTTTCTGTGCTCATCTTGATTAAATCTAAAGTTCAGTCTCCTGCAGAAAGACAGAGATGACATGAAAATGCAGACTAAAACATCAAGTTTTTAGTTTACCTTGAATAACGTGTCATGTATTCATTCACTCATTACATGTGACTAAAATGTAGATGCAGACTCAAAACCTTCATGTTTTAGCAGCCACGGTCACTCTGTGCCTTTGGCTATTAGCAGAAAATGAGCAGGTGTGAAAAAATAGACCTCGTGATCACCTGCTTCTTGTTGGCTGATGATTAACTAAAAAGTTCCATTACAAAGCTTTCAATAAACACTTATATGGCCACATTATAAAAAAGTGCAATTGTGAATAGGAATTTTTCTTTTCAGTTCTGTTAAATTACCAGCACTGAAAATAAGCCAGTTAATAAATCTACAGTTAGGCATAAAAAAATAGCGCTGTGGTCGCCCCTGGTCAGACTCATTAGTACAGATATGTGAAAAAAATTAATAAATCAGTCATCGTTCAGGGAATGATCAAACCACAAGCCGAGCATTGTAACTTGCACGCACACATTAATGTTTAGGTTTAGCCATCAATTGCATAGAAAGAGTTATATAAGACATTAAGAGAGGTCAGATATAATCCAGGTCCAAAACCATTTTTATCATATTGATACCAAATTGTTATTAGGGCAATTACACAGACTTATGTAAGCACGGCATGTTCCTCTGTTATATTGTAAGTATGCCATTTTCTTCCTCTTATGTTGTTTTTGTCTTGGACAAAACACCAGCTTTGTTTTACGGTAAAAAGAACAAACATGTATGTTTCTACCAGTGGAAAAAAAAGCCCAAAAAACAGTTACCAGGCAGATCTATGTCAATTTCATGGCATTTCAACAAGCTTCCATAAACACTAGTTTTCTGATCCTACTGTACTTAACCGTTATTTAAGTAAGAAGAATATTGCATTAACTTAGTTGGATCAATTTTTTTTCAATTTCAATTTTCAACTGTTAATGATCAGAATTGTTAGATGTTACGCAGTGTGTATTTTTTTTATCCTGTCAAGCTTAATATTCTGTTTGAGTGCCTGACATAATTCTTTCATAATGATACGTCCTTTACTGTATTGTTTGTGCATTTTTCTTTACTTTAACACATTTTGCTTGCTAAATTACTCACTGTTACAGACTTTGTTGCTTTATATAGATTAGGCCCCGACCATCCAACAAGATTAACTCAAGCTATGGGAAAACCTATTTTCCTCAGTGAAAAACCTCTTTTTAATCACTTCGGCTAATCTCTTTAGTTTTGAATTTTAGCCAAGTTTGCTGTCTTCCAGATGTGACAATGGCCAGCAGGGAGCAGTGACCAGTGTTTTGATAACAGAGTGCAAATGACTTCTGAGAAATTAAAGTCATAAAAAGTTAAGGCCAGCTACTGTAAGTTTTCACTCGAATCCTAAGAACTTAAGTCTCGGTTTGTCTCGGTTAATTAAGCAAAAATCTTGACCTTAGTGCGGTGTAGTTATTAATCTGTGTTTGTTATCGAAAGGGTAAATAATTACTCACCAACAACCTCTAACAGTTTTCACCTCCAAATGTTACCTCAGATGTCAAACTTTAATCACACCTACTTCTTTTAGTAACACATAAAATAAGGCAAAGCCAAGACGGTTTTATCTCTTTTTGTCTGCAGCACACACGCCTACTTCGGGTGTTATTGATATCATAAATGACACCTGACAATCAAAGGCACCGCTTTAAGTTTGTTACCAGTTTTGTTCTTCAGGATCTTAGTCACAGATCAATAAGCTATGTCCTTCCAGTGAGTGTTTTTATTACTTATTTGAATGAGCTGCGTGCTGTTGTTTATCTGCTCTCGAGATAAATGGCTACTCAATAGGTCTAATCTTACATCTCCTGTGGTTTAATTATGAAACCAAATAATGTTAATGTTTGTACAGTTGTGTCAATCAACATCATCTTCAAATCAGTGTTCATGACAGTTTAATAAATGTCAGCCCAAAAGATGAACTGTCTTATTTCTACTTTTTACTAAGTCTTCCATGGAAAACTATGTCAAGGTAATGTCTGCATTTTGGTATATGTTAAATTGATGCACAGAAAAAAACAGGAAAACAAGTGCAAAGGTATTTGGATTACAAGTAGGGGAATGCTAGACTCATATTTGCTGCAACAATCAGTCTGTTCCCTGAATGTCAAATGACAAGGACAGTCAGGTCTAAGAAAACTGAGACCACTCCCACCCTCGAGGAATTCTACAAGACAGTTGAAATGACACAGATCCAGTATGCTGTTAAGTCATTGCAGTTTACAGTGTATATATCACTATCGCTTGTTGTGCATGAAGGATGCTTTTTGTCAGTCTTATTTTTCTCCTTGTAACACAAGTACGTGATTTCCCACTTTCCATGGGACTACATTACTGTGCCGAATGAGAGCACATTAAGCTGTAAGAGTCTTACCTGTTAATTAACTGGCACTTTTGCATCATTTAATTATATTAGCTGTTTTGTTTCAGATTTCCAGCTGGTGAAATTTTAAATGTCTTTCCAAATTAGTTCCTTGTTTTTAGAGTAATAATAATAATAATAAAAGATTATTTAGGATCCACTTATTATAACTGAATGTCTCTTTTGTTTTCTGTGAGTTTTGTGAGCTTTACTTTTATAAACGTAGCCTCTTGTCTTTTAAATATTATCAATTATTAAGTAAAAGAAACTATGCACTTTTTTTCTATTAGCATTTTTTTTGTAGCTCACAAAGTTAATTATTTTATTAGAAAATATGATCATTCGATTAAAAACGCTGTCTTACACATTAGGTACCCCTTTAATAAACCCATTGCAAAGCACAAACATGTTCAACTTACTTGCAGAGTAGATCAGAGTACGTCAGGTGTCACAAGTCCATCAATTCCACCAAGCATAAGACGATGTGTTGCTCAAGTTGTGGTAACCTTCACATTTAGTTGGCTGCAAAGTGTGACATTGTAGGGGGCCGGCCTGGTCCTGAGGCAAAGTCCCATTTTTTTTGTGATATCACTGCTAGCATGTCTCCTTGAACCCTTATTGGATACAAGAATTTATGACCTATGGAATATTTTAGAAGTTCCTTACGACAAAACTGGTATGTCTGTTAAAGCCTTTTCATGTTAAAATTCTGTGATTTATTAGAAAAGAAGTTAACCTTTGCTCAGTCATGTAAAGGCTTTGTCATTGGCACACAGATTTTCTTTGTCTCGATTGTCCCCAATTTAGCTCTGATAAGACAAGGAAGATCACAGGTGAACCGAAAGTACACACTACGTTTCAAACCACTTTTACTGCAGTCATAAGCAAATTTAGCTGCAACAAGGTCAGCAACAGCAAAACAAACTTCTTGTGCTTTCAAAAATAGATCACGATCGTCCCTCCATTTCAAAACCTGCCTGATTCACGAAGCTGATTTTCTAAAGTAATGTGTGAAGACAGAGATAAGACACATTCCTCTGAGAGATAACCTGGAAGGGAAGTTCATCAGTGTGTCACTTGCAAGCAGCAGCTTTATATTGAATAAGTGAAAACAGACAGGAAATAGTATATCTATTTAACTACATGACTGATAACACAAAAATATGAAGGTTACACAAGAGTGTATTGATTGGTTTATTGATTTATTTACAGTTTCTCCCTCCACACTGTGCAGGGCCATACATGTCTTTATAGGCCTGCATGGCCCTGCACAGTGTGGAGGGAGAAACTGTAAATAAATAAGAGGTAAAAGTAAAAATGTAAACTAGTTAAAAGAAGATTTTGATCAGATAACCAATACAATAAGCTCATACTGACTGTCAATTCAATTCATGTTTTTTAATACAGCGCCAAAATCACAACAACAGTCGCCTCAAGGTGCTCTATAATGTAAGGTAGACCCTACAATAATACATACTGAGAAAAACACAACAATCATATGACCCCCTATGGTGACAGTGGGAAGGAAAAACTCACTTTTAACAGGAAGAAACCTCCAGCAGAACCAGGCTCAGGGAGGGGCGGGGCCATCTGCCACGACCAGGTGGGGTGAGAGAAGGAAGACTGGACAAAAGACATACTGCGGAAGAGAGCCAGAGATTAATAGCAAGTAGGATTCAATATATTCAATATTGAATACATAATTCAATGTATTTGTCTGCAAGGCTACACATTATGACATACCTGAATTAAGATTAGAATTAAAGGGCCATGCAAGTGATGGGCCAAGATTAATTCACTTTATTTTCAAGACTATTAGAAAACATGTAGACCAGGGGTCCCCAATCCCAGTCCACGAGGGCCGGTGTCCCTGCAGGTTTTAGATCTCATCCTGGGTCAACACACCTGAATCAAATGATTAGGTCATTACCAGGCCTTTGGAGAACTTCAAGACATGTTGAGGAACTAATTTATCCATTTAAATCAGCTGTGATGGATCAAGGACACATCTAAAACCTGCAGGGACAACAGGTCTCATGGACTGGGATTGGGGACCACTGATGTAGACTATGTGTCTGTGACTGAAAGGTATGTGACTGCTATGGATTAGGAGTGATGCTGTAGTGATCCACCACGAAAAAGTGGTAAGGAAACAATCAGATTAAAGACGATCTACAGAGTTTTTAAGAGAAAACTTTGATTAAAAAAGAAGATGGTGTTTTGAGCTGGAAAAAGAGGCAAGAAGGGTTTAATTTAAGAGATGTTGTTAAATCATGTGTCAAGCATGCAAGGAGTTAAATGTACAGTAGCGCATGCTTTCCAGCACATAAAATATTACTGAGGCCAAATTTGGTTTTTTTGTTTTGTTTTGTTTTTAGAAATTTTAGTTTACTGGAACTATTAGAACTATTTTCTTTATATTACAACTATGTAATCCAAATGCATATTAATTCAAATTTTCATTAACATAATATGACATAATATGCTGTACAATTCGAAATTTAAGGATGGCCTTAATTAAAATCAACACGCAGAGGCACAGCAGTTTGAAAGACAGAGAAATCTGTTTATTTTTGCATTGTTAATAATCCATAATTATACTGCCTATAGGGTACAGCAACAATATGTCTTTACATATGAAAAAATATGTATTGTACCAGCTCAATGCAGAATTTCGACTGAGCATTATGTAACTTAATAAGCTTCTGAGTGACTTCATCATGCAGCTGTCGAAACTGGATGTTTGATCAATGGTCACGCCTTTTTTCAACTTAACTTAAACCACAGATGTCTCAGATCTTTGTTCTGAATCTATGGCTGGCAGACCAGCCTCATTCAGCATTACTGTCTGTATTACTGGTTGCTTCAGTTCACTCTTATGTATGACATACACAGCCCATTGTTAGGCAGATTAGCATAGCTCTAATAACAACAAGCAGCTGGAGCTACCTGTATCTGTCAGTAGGTAAAAATACACTGGAAATAAATGTGCTCTCTGTTTACATAGGATCACTCACGAACACACTGAACCCTCTGTAAATAACCATGTTATTGTGTTCCTAAAGGCTATTGTGCGTCAGTGTCTTGAAGCGTGCACACTCTAAGAGGTTACACGACATAGTTGGGTTATAAAAGTGACATGTCGGGCTGAACCTAAACAAGGACGATAGGACAGTTATGGTAAAAAGTTGCACACCACTGGTCGGTCAATTTGTAGTTTTTAGTTGGATATAAAGTCCGGTTTAGAGACTACAGAAATGCTGAAATTTCTTTCCCACAATTTAGTGAGGACTATGTTCTTACTGATTGTAATAACTGTAGGTAAGTGCACCTTACTTTTGTCAAAGCTTATCCTACAAAATATATTGTAAGAGGGAGCAGAACAGTGAAAAAGTGTTGTAAAAAGTATTCAAACTTATGTTCAAACTTTTCTCCAATTTTAGAACATGTGCATTCATCCAACTGCACAAGTCGCCGATGTCTGAGTAACGTGTTGATAGATAAAAATCTGTTGTCGCAGCCACAGAACGATAGCTGCACTCACGAAGTCCGAGTGCCAAAATTAGAGTACCAGACTCTGGAAGTTGTAAGTATTAACTTTTTGTAGTGGAGCTAATTTAGAATATATTTTCATTTCTCCATTTACACGTCTTTGGTGACTCTTCTGTATGACAGTTCTTTGTTACCTAATTTGTTTTCAACAGAACACAAAGCAACTCCGTCTACTAATTCTTCTACAAGCCTCGATCGTAAGCTTCAAAATACTTTTTAAAAAAGTAAAAAAACAAACAAACCCCAAAACATTACTTTGAAAAAAATACATTTTGATCTGAAAACACAGGAATGGGAAGATCCTGAGTTGGCGTGGGACACATCGGTGTACAAGTTTGATGAAGTAATTCTGCCAGTAGACAAAATCTGGACTCCAGAACTCCTTGTAACAAACGCGTAAGTAGTTTCATCCAAGAGCCATCACTAAGCCAGTTCAAACAATGGCTAAAATTCTTCTGAGACATCACTTATCTCTTCTGTGTAGAATGACATCAACTCTGAAGCACGGCTCTGCTAATGTGCTGGTGTACAGTAACGGCACAGTGAAGGACGATCTGATCATAAATGCAGAGGTGAACTGTGAAGTTAACCTGTTCAACTATCCCTTCGCTTATGATGTGTGTCCTGTTGCAGTACAAGCCTGGGACACTGACAGTAAGCTCAGCAATTCACTAATATACTACATATGTGATCATTTCTGAGATGTGTTTTATAATGTCTCGTTTTCGCGTACTTTTTTGGCCATTTGTATAAGTTGAAATGTAAAATTTATGCATTACCATTTGAATGGAATTGTAATAATTTTAACAGTACGATAATCTCATAACAACACCGCTGATCACTGTTTATGATCAACGATCATAAAAGTGTAACATGGAAAAAAGCAGGGTAACTGCAGTTCTTCAATATAACTTAATTCATCGCAGGTCTTTGCTACCAGTTTTACTGCTTTTAATTTGTGTCTTACAATATTGCTAAGAAGTCACTCGATTACTGAAAAGAAATTATCTTTATGACTCTATTTTAAAATAAGCAATCTCAAAGCAGACTTAATTTTATTCAGAATGTGGTACAACACTGGTGTTTGGTGAAGTGAGACTAAGTGATAATAGTCACGGAGACTGGCAAACGGTGGCTGCAATACTTCAGAAAAAACGAGATGACCGCAATTACATCCAGGTAAGTTCACCCAGGCCTGCCATTTGTAACTAAGGGTACTGCAGTGACTGTTTAAGAGTTAAATTCATTTTTATACACCCCCCCTTCCAGCAGTTAAAAACTAATTAGACTAAAAATAAATTAAATGATTATCATTGTGTTTTTGAATTCCTGAAGTTTAGAAGACATAGCCAGTGTCAACAAGGTTTGTTTCGGGGCCTTTACTGCAGTGACAAATTGTGTCACTGTCCAAAAATGAATGAATCTGGCTGTACATAGACCCACTTTCTTTCATTGGGGGGGGGG